CATTGTGGTAAACTGTGGTCAATGTCATGAGACAAAGTGTATGTGAACTGCTGTATGGAAAGTGAATTTGCTCTGTAAATCTTCACCCAAATCACACACACACACACAAATAATAAAATAAAAAAAATAAAATGAGCCAAAATGCTGCTTAGGAAGGAAAAGTAGGTAAATTTGATATTAGGGTATCTGTTATTTAACATGAAAGTGGGATAGAATTCCCAAGTTGAATGCAACACAAGGCTTCTAGAATGATTGTCAATGGCCAACACTTCTTCCTCCCAGCTGCACTTTCATCTAAATTGCCCTATTTTCATTCATATCACCCCCACCAAGAATCTAGTCTTCACTTGGACTTTGCCTAAGAATACTCAGGAAATCCTATTTCTAGCACCCTTTGAATAGAGTGGGATCTGTCTCCCCTAGCCTGAAACAAAAGGCTAGAATAATGGCTTCTTCGCATCTCATCTCAATGGAGTATCACCCAATTTCTCAGAAACTTCGTAGAAGTGATGGGAATAAAACACTCACTCAGTGCAGTGAGGATTTCTCTCTGGTTTACCCACAATCCCAGAGTCACTGTTATGAGCCCGTCCCATTCCAGGCTCAGTCTCTCCCCATCGTGGGAGTCTTCCCTTGTTCACCCTTCCCACAGCCTCATTCAGTCCCTCCCACATCAACCCTACCTCCACACACTACCCTGCCCCACCCCTTGCAATCTCACTTAAAATGAGCTCCCTCTTAGAGATCAAAGGGTCCCAAAGTCTCAAACTGCCTTGCCTCAGGGCATTTACACTAACCTGCTCAAATCTTAAGGAGTTCTGATGGGTAGTGGATAAGGCACTTGACTGATAATAGGAAGGTCAATGGTTCTAACCCACCAGCTGCTCCGTGGAAAGAAGACTACGATCTACTTCTATAAAGATTACAGCCTAGGAAACCCAATGGAAGTCACTGTGAGTTGGAAACGACTTGATGGTAGTGATCTCAGTGACTTTGGTTTGGTTTGGTTTTGGTTTGCTCATATTTTGAAAGAACCCTGGTGACACCGTGGATAAAGTGCTCAGCTGTCAACAAAAAGGTCAGTGCTTACAAAGAAGACCTAAAGACAAAGATGTGGCAGTCTGCTCCCTTAAACATTCACAGCTTTGAAAACCCTATGGGGCACTTTTACTCTGTCCTTTAGATTTCCATTGTTTTTTCCTTGCTTTTATAGGGTGGCATTGAGTTGGAGTCCACTCAACAGAAACAGGTTTAGTTTTGGTACCTCTCATCTCAAACCTCCCATTTTTCACTCTTTCTTTTTACTTGCCTTTTAGGTTTTATATGATGGCTGCTTCTAGAGCCTGAAATTCTATGGCAGTGGCTAGGTCTTCTTTTTCTTAACATTGCCAGTACTAGCACAGTGTCTTCCAAATATAGATGCTCAATTAATGGTGGAGAAATGAAAAAGCAAGTGAACAGGGGCCTTAATTTATTAAAAGTTACTTTCTTATATTATTATGTAATTGAAGCAAAAACGGTTATACATCTTTTAATTCAATTTCATGAAAGACTAAAAAGGATTGTTGTTGTTATGTGCCATCGAGTCGGACCCGATTCATAGTGACCCCTTCTTGGGTTTCTGAGGCAGTATCATTATGGAAGTAGATTGCCCCATCTTCCTTCTGAGGAGTGGCTGGTGGGTTTGAACCGCCACCTTTCTAGTTAGCAGTCAAGGGCCTTAAGCACTATGCTACTAGAGCTCAAGGATTAGGAAGGGCAAATATTGACCATCTTAATTTTTCTTTATTTCTTAATTCCATGTTTTTTTTGTTTTGTTTTGTTTTGTTTTGTTTTTTGGTTCCTGCTGTGTTCGTCATAGATCTAGGAAATGCTTACTCCAATGCCATTCTGTCTTGCCTCAGATCACTAAAATGGAACAGGTCTAACTTTTTTTTAAGCAAAAATAGCAAAGCTCTTCATCATAAACCTGGGAAACAACAATAAATGGGTGATCCATGTGGTTTATAAACTTAGATTATAATGCTAAAACGAAGTCTTCACTTGAAAGAATAGACACTGGAAAAATAAGAAGGTATAGATAAATCACTAAGTTACCAATACAGAAGAGAAAGCAAAGTATTAGACACTGTGTTCCTTGCGGTCGCACCCAGCCCTCCACTACTTGGAACACTGACTGCCCTCTTCAACCACAAGGTAACGTGTGTGCTTCAGACTTCACTAGGCGTGCGAGGAGTTGGTGGATCTGGCACTGGAGCATACACAACACTGGCTGTGGCAATGGAACTAGCCAAGTCTGTAACTATGGCTCTGAATCTCTTTTCCTCAGCTCTCAAAGCCTCTTCATACCACGATGGAAGGCAGTGGGCAAGGTATCCTTGATCTTGGCTAAGTACTCCAGGACTTTCATCTTGATGGTTTCAGCATCGACTCTGGGATGCCACAGGAATTCATAGCGTGCAGGTTCACTGTTGGGCACCTGCCGATTCTCCAGGTACTTTAGCTTTACAAAATCTTGACTCATCAGATTCCTAGGCTCACCAAAGATGAAGTGGCTCTTCACTGCATAAATTCTCATCTTATTCAGGAATTCCCAGATCATCTCCTCAGTGGCACAGTTGCTCTTCATGAAAATCACACCCAGGAGAGTCATCAGGAGACCAGTTTTGGGCAAACCCCTGCCGTGACTCAGCATCCCATTGTTGGGGAGGTCCATTTTGCTGACAAGGGCATAGGAATGCTTGGTGGAGCCAACTTCCGTTAAGTCAACGGGGAAGACCACCTCCATGATGAAAGAAGCTCTCCTGAGTATCTCAAGGAAGTTATTATTACACTTTTTGTTAACAATTTTTAGCATGTCTTCTTTTATAATGGGCTTTTTCATTTTATACATTTGCAACAGGGACTGCACCAATGTACTCACTTCTTGGTTAGAGGATCTCTGTGGGGACATCTCATGAAGGGTTTTCCTGGAAAGGACTTTGCCTTTTGTCATCTTTGTCATTGGCACCTTTGTGAGATCGTGTGTGTGAAGTACCCAGAGAAGTAGTGGGGGAGAATGAGACCCTCCTAAGCCAATGGAGAGTGCTACGTGACCTAGTACCAGACTTTGTCTGGGTAGTACACCCAAAAGGAGGAGTGGAGGAGGAGGGGAACTCTTCTTCTGCTGTTGCCATGGCCTGAGCATCCATGAGAACCTTGGTCTCACCTAGGGCCTGCTGGTGTTTCTTACTCTTCTGAGTGTGAGGCATGACGACTCTCATCAGGTATGCGGGCAGGAATGTGAGCAGGACACAGGCAATGTACGCCCTCTGGAATAGAAAGGAGAGATAGGGTTAGCAGAATAAGTAGGAAGATAACACTTAGGCTTTAAGAAAGCACCCTCTGATGTGGAACAAAATTCAAAATCATTAAAAAAAAAAAAAGACTAGATCTGCTGGTCTGATAGAACCTGGTGGAATCCCTGAGACTATGTCCCTTAGCTGCCCTTCAGTTCTGGAATTTAACCCACTCCTGTGGCTTCAAGCAAAGGACTGAACATTTCCATTAGGTAGATACACTCCTTGGAGAGATCAATCATGGGAGCATAGAAGGGCTGTGTATGCACAGGGAGACAGCTTGGGGGTAGGAGTCCATGGGAGGGAAAGACACAGGGAACAGGTAGCTATGGGGAGGAAGTAGGAGGGGAGCTGTTGCACTGTAGGAAGTTGCAGTCAATGTCATGAGCCAAAGTGTGTGTGAGCTGCTGTGTGGAAAATGAATTTGCTCTGTAAACTTTCACCCAAATCACAGTAAAAAATTTTTTTTTAAAAAAAAGGAAAGAAAGAAAGCACCCTATGCAGGTTTACATGAAGGCACTGATCTGGAAACCTATGGGGCTGCTGTGCTCCCGAACAGCATGTTCCCTGAGAATCCTGTGGAAGAAATAAGAGTTCACCTTAGGCTGCATTCTGCCAGCCCTGCTTGGGAATTACTGGAGCTGAGAGCAGGGACTTGCAGGTCTAGGCTCTGTGGAAGTCCCTCTGTTCTGGAGTAGATGATTCTCTCAGTTCACATTCAGGACCATTGCATCAACTGTTGGCAGGGTCTATCCCCAACCCCTACCCAAGTGCCACTATAAATGTCACACATTGATCCAATATCCTCCTTCCCCTGGGACAACCTATGAGAAAATGAAGTAGTACCTCAGTCCACAATCCCTGTCAGGGGACACTCAGTGCTCACAGCACAATTGGGCCCTTTCTATCTTGGGTTCCTTGGTGATCTCATTGCTCATTCAGAGTCTTCTCCTTGGCTCGAAGTAGTCAGTAGAACCCTAAATTTGGCTACATGTAAGGCCTTGGACACTTGCCTCTGCTGATCTGAGGCCTTTCTCCTCAGATCAAGGTCTCACCAACCTGACAGCATCAACCAGAAAGGAGAGTTCACATATACCAGACTTCCATGCCTAAACCTTCAAAGGCTGCAAGCAGGAACTATCTGCTGTTTCTACTTTTCTGTGATGGGTGACATCATCAGTCCTCCTTATACAAGATCCTCACTGTTAGATCCTGAGTCTCCTTCTTCTGCAGAGTTGGGGCTACTCCATCAGACCAAGGTCCACACCTCCCTAGCACCCTCCAGGAAAAAATGAGGGGGCACCTCAGCTTGACAGCTATTCTGGAGTTTCCCAGAGCTGAGAGTATATATGGTTCCCTTAGACCTTATATTAGATTTTTTACACTGACTCCTGTTAAGGTCTAGGGGAACTCCCTCTGCAGAACTGGGCAGCCTCCATTAGACTAAGGCCCTCACCTCTCAGACCTTTCAGGCACAAATCAGGCTGAAACACTGCTTGGAGCCCACAGATCCAACATCAGGGACTTTGTAGAACTCCTTCTTTGTATCTCATTAGCCCTTAAGGTCCTGATTCTAGATAGCCTAAGACTCCTCCCTCTGCAGAGCTAGAGCCCACTTGCTAAGAGCAGACCATCAACTCCCTGTGGCAGAAGTTTACCAAGTACTGTGCCTACAGCAGAAGAGGCACCAGGGTGGATGTGGCAGGGGTAGGGGTTGGCATGGGGGCAGAGGGAATGCAGGTGGGGGTATGGGGTGGTTGTGGATTGGGGTGGAAGGGTGGCAGCAGAGAGGGGGCAGGATGGGTGGTGACGAGTTTGTTCTGGGGTGGGAAATGATCCTCTCCATACCCACTGAGAGTCCTCACCTTGACTCCCGACTAATCCTGGAATGCCACACACCCCTGATGATAGGCTGAGCTCCTCAGAAAATAGAACTCAGTTTCCAGCCCTTCCAACACAGAAGGCAGGATGTCAGTACTTATCACATCCACCCAAAACTGTTGAGGGGGCCCTCCAAGGAGTGATGTTGTGGGCGGGGCTCTTGGAACCCCACTGTTTTGGAGTCCATAATGCTCACTCAGGGTCCTCACCTTGAAACCTGTCAGAGCCTGGGGTTCCTGCCTACACAGACCTGACTCTGACTCAGAAGCAGACCCTCACCTCCAGGAGGGCCTAGAGGGGGTGGTCAGGGCATGCTGTGCAGCACTGCTTGAGTTCTCACAGGAGTGCTGGCTGGGCCAGTGCTCTGGGCAGAGCCGCATTTGTGGGTAGTTCCTGCCATTACCACTCAGGGTCCACACAGCCAGGATGCCAATTAGGGACAAGAGTCTTCCCTCTGGAGAAGTGGTGCTGCCTCCTTCAGTCCAAGACCCTCTCACCCTGACACCTTGTATATGGAAATGAGGAGGAACTTTAGGCTCATAGCTCTGCCTGGTGCACCCCAGGGATCAAAACAGGGGCTGAGTTGTGTGAGGTCCTCTCTACTTACTGTTGGAGTTCCCCTCATAATAGTCTGGGTACTCACCTTGACTCCTGTTACTGTCTTTCTTGCTCCTCTCCCACTACACCAAGGCCCTCTCTTCCCTCATTCTAGGTAGAAATGAGGGGGCTCCTTAACCTGACAATCTTGTCATCGTTCCCCCAGGGCTGAAGGGCTTGGGGTAGGGTGGGGTGGGGCTTAGTGGGCCTCCTCTGTTCTGCTGTGGGTGGTTTCCTCATTGCTTATTGTCGGTCTTCATCTTAACACCTGACTTGTCACGGGACTACATTCTCTGTTGACCTGAAGCTGCTCACCTCAGATCAAGGTCCTCACTGACTTGGGACCCCTGAGCTACATGCAGTCAGGACTGTCCTGGATCTCCAAGGACTGACAGCCAGTGCAGAACTGTGTCCCCTGGGTCTTGCCATCATCCTCATTAGGATCATCACCTTGATGTCCATTAGAGACTGAGACTCCTACAGCTAGTGGCTTAAGGTACCCATCTTAGGGAGAACTCTGAAGGATTAGTGAGGAGATGCTCAGTCTGACAGCCCTGCCTGGGGCCTTATAGGTCTGAGAGCACGTGCCAGCTGGCCTCTGTGTGACTCCTATACTCTGGGGTGTTGGTTTCCCCAGTCTTCCTACACGGGAGTCTCTATCTGGCTTCTTTATCTTTGGTTAAAACCTTCAGCAGTTTTGCTGCTGGAAACTTGCAGAGAATGGATCACCATCCTGGAGTAATGTGAGATGGGAAAGCTGCAGCAAAGACAAAAGGAGGCCCAGAACAGGTGACGGGCTGTCAGAGAAAACAAAAACAAAAACAAATACCCTGACCCATTCCTGCTTTTCATCAGCCAAACAGAATCTCATGGAATTGGGGTTGTAATAGAACTACTTTCTACAGGCAGGGGCTCTCCAGGATGATTTTATGGGCCTTGATCTTCTCAAGCTCTTTGGCATTGCATATTGGGAGCTCTGGTAGCATAGTGCCTAAGGCACTTGACTGCTAACCAGAAGGCAGGCGGTTCAAACCTACCAGCCACTCCTCAGAAGGAAGGTTGGGCAATCTACTTCCATAGTGATACTACCTCGGCAACCCAAGGAGGGGTCGCTATGAGTCGGGTCTGACTCAACAGCACATAACAACAACAACATACAGATATCACTAAACTTGTCTCCTTCTTGTCCTTAGTTATATGTTTGTTGTTAGGTGCTGTCAAGTCAAGATCCACTAAGAGCACTCCATGTGATAGACTACAATGGCCCCAGAGGCTGTAATCTTTATGGGAGTGGATCACGAGGTCTTTCTCCTATGGAGCTGCTGGGGGGTTGAAACTGCCAACCTTTCAGTTAGCAGCCAAGTGCTTAACAGTTGCTTTACCAAATCTCCGTTTTCCTTATTCACACCTCTCATTTATTTTGGTATTCTTATAGGTCTGGCTATAAAGTCCAACCCAATGCTTTGGGCACAAAGTTATTATGTTTACTGTCTGACATACATTTTGGAGTGGTGAGAAGTGAGTTAAGAAACACAAGGTCAGCCTCTGTCTGGAGGAGGGGAGCAGTGTGGGCTCTGGACAGATTCAGACCAGGGGTCTAGTCCAGCTCGGTCATGGACTAGACTTGTGAACTTGCACACATTGCCAAACTCTCTGAGCTCCAGGCTCTTGTCTGTGAAATGGGTTGAATAAGCCCTTTCTTCTAGGGTTGCTGCAATATAATGTAAGCATTGCATGTAAAACACCTGGCAAAGCGACTTACAAATATTGGACCTTTAAAATAAAGATTAATAATTACTGTGATTATTTTGACACCACACAACACCATCCACCTCTCTGAGAATTTTTTGTTTTGTTTTCTCCAGGCTGTGTGTGTGGGGATATACAGTGCTCTAGGACAAAGAAAGCCACATCAGGCAAAATACTGCTTAGGAGGAAAAACTTAAGTCATATTTTACATCAACCTGTTGCCGTTGAGTCGATTTCAGCTCACTACCACCCCATTCGTTACAGAGCAGAAGTGTCCCAGAGGGTTTTCTTGGCTGTAATCTTTACAGAACAGATTGCCAGGTCTTTCTTCCACATTGCCAATCGGTGGGTTAGCTTGGCCATCCTATAGGTTAGTAGTCAAGGGCAAACCTTTTTTGCCACCCAGCGAGCAGCTTCTTACTTATCTAATGCTGCTATAAAAAAAATTAGCACCAGTGGAAGGTTGTAACAAGCAGAAATTTATTTTCTTGCAGTTTAGGAGTCTGAATTCAGAGTACTAGCTCTAAGTGGAGGCTTTCTCTTTAGTTGCTTCTTCAATCTGTACTTAGATATCTCAAAAGAGATCCACTTAAGAGACACCCTGCACTAATGCTTTCTAATTATCATAACAAAGAAACACCATTGGCAAATAAGATTACTACCACAGGTTAAAATAAAAAACAAACCAACTGCCATAGAATGTATTCCCACTTACAGTGATCTCTGTTGAGTTTCCAAGGCTGTAAATCTTTATGGAAGTAAATTGCCTCATCTTCCTCCCACAAAGCTGTTGAGGACTTTGAACTTCTGACCCCTGGTTAGCAGCCAAATGCCTTACCCACTATGCCACCAGAGTTCCTTACCAAAGGACAGGAGTTAGGATTTACAACACATATTTTGGGGAGACACAATTCAATGCATATTAAGAATAGATCTTGGGCAAACTGCAGTTTAATGCAATACAAAGCTCCCAGAATCATCGTCAGAGACCAATGACTCCCCCTCCTGTCTGCCCTTCTAGCTCAGTTACCACAACTTTCATTCATATCCTTCCCATCAAAAATCTACTTTTCGTTTGATGTTTGCCAAAGGACACTCAGATTAACTTACTTCTAGCGTCCTTTGGGGAGCTCTGGTAGCATAGTGGCTAAGACACTTGCC